CCGCCTCCCGCTCGAGACACTGCCAATCGACATGGCGATTGCTGCTGCTCCGGGCCAGGTGAGACCACTCTTCTGCAACAACTGGTCGAAGTGCGCCTGCCAGGGACATCTGCTGCTCCAGCCTGCTGACTGATCTACCCTGTGCCATTATTGGCACCTTCCGCAATGCCACAAAGCGCAGCAAGATGCTCTGAATCAGCGGACAGGGCAGAAGTTTAGTTTAGGGCTGAGGGTGTAAGGTGCAGAGATCGGGGTTTACGGCTCGGGGGTTAAGGGTTTAGGGTTCAGGATACCAGGCATGGGTTGGGGACTGCGCATACAGTATGTGCGAGTGTATACGAGGGCACCATTAACGGCCTTCGGTATCTACATGTTACATAGTATTCAACTGAAAAGTGTCCGAGGTATCGGCTTTGAGGCGAGATGGGGGTGCAGTTCGGGCTTTGAGTTCTTGGGGTGTGCTGTGAGTTAGGATTTAAGGGTTTGGGGTTTAGGGTCTAGGCTTAGAGGCTAAATAGTACCCTAGCCCAAAAAAAGGTTAACCTTTTGAGTTATAGTAGGGTCATATAAGCCCCAAAAGCTTAGAAGGTTACCTGCTCAGCCCCTTAATAATTAGAATAGGGTTTTGGGGTATAATATACTACACTTATAATTAGGAGCCCGCAAAATAGTCTAGGTGATTATTTTGGCCGCTAAGTTAGGTTCTCGGAGCTTGTGGACGAAGGTTTGTCCACTAGGTTCTCTCGTAATCCTATCGCACGGCGGACAGCCCAATACTATTTTGGGGGTTCCATATTCTAAGTATAGTATAATGGGCCTCAAAACCTGATTCCAACTGACAGTATCAGGAAACCTCCGCAAAAAACTAGGCAACAGTGCAGAGTGCAGTTGAAAGGCTTTGGGCATTTGTGTTCCAGCTATGGGCGCTAAGAGTCCGAGTGGCAACGGGCTACACCATGCTGCAAATATAGGGCCTCAAATGCAGCACTTTAAAAACTATTGCCCCCGGAAGCCGGATGCTAGAACCAATAATTCTGAGCTACTATATATATATATATATATATATATATATTTATAGGCATATACACATATATATATATACACACACATGTATGGTATGGCTCTCCCTGAGGCTTCAGCAGGGGCTGAGGGAGCTGTGGTTGTGAAGCTTCGGGTTGAGCGGATCTGGAGTTGAGGGCCTCCATACTTACACTAGGGTTCCTTCAAGTGTGTTCGTAAAAGGGTTTTGTGACCTCTAAGAGGCTTTAGAAGTTAAGAAGGGTTTAGATGCTTTTCGTCTTAAAGTGGCGGTAAGACACTGCTATGTCGGATTGAGCAGACCCTCACAGCATGGGTCCATTCCTGCACGGGTACATGAGCTGCAGTAATTTTGCTCGGACAGCAAGAGATGCCATGATGTTGCGAAGTACTACTGCAATATGATGCTTGCAACACAAGCCATGAAGAACAAGTCTTGCAACATGTGGCATAAGACCGTCGTGCAGGTTTCAGCAAACAATGCCAACTAGTGTATCAGAAGGCATCCAACCTTGCACAATGGGCATTGCCTGTAATCAAGAGCATATCATGCATCCGCGATGGTCGGCCGCCTCCAAAGCAACTCGCCTGCTGAGCGACAGCTGGCAGCACGCTGCTGCAGAAAGGCCTGGCGCGACACCGGCATAGATAGGTGGTATTTGTAGCACAATGTAGCATCTGCAGGAGTTGTAGTAGCACAATGTAGCATCTGCAGGAGTTGTAATAGTAGTAGTAGTAGTAGTAGTAGTCTAGACATTAGAGTAACCTAGGAATAAAAAGGGTGCCCTTTTTGGTTTAAAGGGGATTATAAGGTAACCTGAACCCTAAAAAAGGGAATAAGGGCCTACTTTGGGTCCTAGTAGTAGTAGTAGTAGTAGTAGTAGTAGTAGTAGTAGTAGTAGTAGTAGTAGTAGTAGTAGTAGTAGTAATAGTAGTAATAGTAGTAGTAGTAGGAGTAGTAGGAGTAGTAGGAGTAGTAGTAGGAGCAGTAGTAGGAGCAGTAGTAGTAGTAGTAGTAGTAGTAGTAGTAGTAGTAGTAGTAGTAGTAGTAGTAGTAGTAGTGGTAGTAGTAGTCGTAGTCGTAGTCGTAGTCGTAGTCGTAGTAGTAGTCGTAGTAGTAGTAGTAGTAGTAGCAGCAGTGCCCGTGGACATGGTGGTGGTTGTTGTGGTGGTAGTGCTGGTAGCGCTAGGGGCAGTAAGTAAGTATAAGCACGAGGAGGAGTAAGAGGAGCCGGAGAAGCAAGAGCAGCAGCAGCCGCAGTCGTCACCGTCCCACCCACCACCCAAAGTCCAACCCTTAAACTTGTGAGCATGACTCCCGTCGAATCTTGAGCCCTCGCTTGGCCAACAAAATCCTGCGAGACAGCATGCCTCCAGCGGCGGGCCCTGTGGGTCACTGAGCCGAGTTTGGAGCAAGGCCTGCAGTGCAAAGAGGTATGACGCTTGTGTTTTGAGTCAAAGTCACTGTTCCCACCTTTTCGACTATTTCTTAGCAACATTTGCTTGCTAGCGGAAACAAACTGAAAGATAGCCGGAAGCGAAGATCCTACGTGACGACATAATCATTCCCCCTGAATCTTTAACATGCTCCCGCAAAAGAAACCTCCCCTTCAACCAAAACGTCACAGCATTTCCGGTCCTCCAGGACGGGCCGCAGCTGTGGCATGGCCTCAGCTTGAACGGGTGCTGGAGGGAGCAGTTATGACTATTGCTACGATTATTATGATTATCCTTATTATTACTATGATCAGTTGTCTTGGGGATCAAGGACTGGATTTAATTTAGGGCTTTCGCTGAGAAGCTTGAGTTCGGGGCTTGGGAGTGACAAAGGCAGAGACTCCAATACCCCTTAATTAAGGAATATACCTTAAATCATATAAGGGGTTCCTAATATAATTTAAGGAATAATCCTTAGGGTTCCCAGAGACTCCAATATCCCTTGATTAAGGAATTTACCTTAAATCATATAAGGGATCCTAATATAATTTAAGGAATATTCGGTAATTAAGGGTTCCTATAAGGACTACCATAAGGGATACTATAAGGGGTATTATAAAGGATACTATCAAGGATACTATAAGGGTACTATAAGGGGTACTTAATTAAGGGGTTTTGGAGGCTCTGGGTAAGGCGGAGGCCCAGGCTTCGGAACTGGGGCTCGCCTTGGTGCTCTGTCGTTTGATGGCCGGATGGGAGCAGCCACGTTCGTTTAGGGTTTAGGGTTTAGGGTTTAGGAGTTTAGGGTTTAGGAGTTTAGGGTTTAGGGTTTAGGGTTTAGGGTTTAGGGTTTAGGGTTTAGGAGTTTAGGGTTTAGGGTTTAGGGTTTAGGGTTTAGGGTTTAGGAGTTTAGGAGTTTAGGGTTTAGGGTTTAGGGTTTAGGGTTTAGGAGTTTAGGGTTTAGGGTTTAGGGTTTAGGGTTTAGGAGTTTAGGGTTTAGGGTTTAGGGTTTAGGAGTTTAGGGTTTAGGGTTTAGGGTTTAGGAGTTTAGGGTTTAGGGTTTAGGGTTTAGAAGTTTAGGAGTTTAGGGTTTAGGGTTTAGGGTTTAGGAGTTTAGGGTTTATGGCTGTCTGTAAACGCAGAAGTGCTCGTTTGCTGCTTCATGGCACAACTGCATCACTTCTCGAAGTACCAAGAAGTCTTCTCGGAGCTATGAGCTCGCAAGTGCTTCTAGCTGCTGTAGCCCCTTCCAAAACGGAGTGACGCATTCCAACGCAATTCCCGAAGACTCTGAAAGACTCGCATTCACAGTCTTAGTCACAATCCTACTCAAAGGGTCATGGGACTGAGTAGCTAGGGCTACAATTAAGGTAACTATACTTATAATTACTTATAACCCCCATTAAGGTACTTATAACCTTACTTCCTAAGTCCCATGATCCTCCAAGTAGCAAGGCTCCCGAATAAGAAGAAGTCCTCTGCACCTGAACTTAAACGCTGCGCCTCAACCCCCGAATCGTTTCTCCTGAACCGTAGGTTCGACTGCCATGACTCACTTATCTGGGAGCTTCCGAAAATAGGAGGTACCTCATTTTGGGGTCCTTGTGATAAGGATCCCTCCATTTGGGCTACTATACTACAGGATCATGGGATTTAGTAAGAAGGGTATAATTGGGGTTATAAGTCCCCTAAGTGGGGTTATCCTAATCCTAACCTACGTATAACCTTACTTACTAAGTCCCATGAGCCTTTAAGTAGGGTCCCCTTTGCATGAACCCACTGAGGCCCCCCCCATTAACCTTCAACTCAAGAGCCTGAAGCCGTATGTAGGAACCTGATTAAGAGACCTCGGGCCTTTATCAGGGTTCCTTTTAAAGGGGTCTATAAGGGTTACTATAAGGGATCTAGAAGGGTTCCTTTTAAAGGGGTCTATAAGGGTTACTATAAGGGATCTATAAGGGTACCATAATAATGTAGGAACCTGATTTATTAAGAAACCTCGGGTCTTTATAAGGGTACCTCTTAAAGGGGTCCTCAAGCTGCAGCCTTCCAAAGAACGGAAGCTTCGGAGTGATTTGACACGGACAACTTGAAAGCTAACCCCTTGGTTCTTTTTGTCCACATGGCCGACAGCCTTCAATGTGGTGCAGAAGCAGCTGCTAACAATGAGCAGTCATATCTTGTCTCGAAATTTCCGGTGTCGACAAGGCCTTTCGGAAACTGAGAACGACCCAGGGTTGGAAGGCGAATCTAAAACCTAGAACATGGGTATGATGACAGGGCTGTCTGCTTTGCAGCGCCCTTCAACGCTTACATGTCAACTTCTCTCCTGGATCTGTGTGGCCACCCTGTGCCGAAACTTACCGTTGGTTAGTAGGGAATGGAAGAATGGTAGTAATAGTAGTTTTTTTAATAGTAGTTTTTTCTGTACTCCATTCCTCCATTCCCTACTAACCAAAGGTAAGGAAAGAATAAAAGGAACGCTGGGTGCTGGGATCTCCAGCGACGCGAGAGCAGCCGAAGAACTACATCCCAATCTCTCTGCTGGATGTTTGGCGCCACCGTGAGCCGAAGAGCATGTAGTGTTGGAACATGGCGGCGACGATTGCGAGAAGGAAGAAGCCGAGGAAAGCTGGGTGCTGGGACAAGACAAAGCTCTCAAGCGATGCAGCGACGAAACCATTCTCAAACCTTGTATGGGCTTGAGGTTAAGGCTTGCGAAGGCGCAACAGAACTAGGTATACTGATCGGAAGCTTGCTATTCGGGCTGTCCTGTGCCTGTGTGTGTGAGTGCTCGAGAATCTCGTCTATATGCATTGGAAGTACCTCATGAACGAAAGATCTGTCAAGCCCTGATCTGTGCGTAAGTTTACGAAGGTTGCGAACGACCGAACGGCAAACGCGCATCAGCAGTTTTGCAGTCTGTGCGTGCGGAAGTTCACGAGCTGGGTGGCTAGGTGGGCAAAATGGGAGCTTCTTAAACCAGGACCATATGCCAAACAGGTGGCTTCACTCATGCTGCAGAGTTATACCTTTCCCAACAATTGGCATGGGCCATACTGCTCCAGTGCCAGCCCTCTCTCTCTCTCTCTCTCCCTCTCCCCCTCTTTCTCTTTCACAACTCCCCGTTATGCTCTGCATGTGTTCATGCGAAGAACCTGCTCGGAACATTGAGTCAAGCTGCCAGAAGTGCTTCGGCTAAAGCTAAGGTGCCTTGAGGGGCTACATGCCCATACAACAGAACTAGAGTGGGAATGTGCCGTTGACTTTCAGTATTTCCAGCATCCTGGAGCCAGGAAGCTGCACAATGCTAAACATCAGCCATCCGCAGATGAAGGCCGCGGCCGTCTGCAAATGGCCACGGTCGAAGATCTTGTCGAGGCGTTTGACACATCGGAGCAGACAAGGATACACTGCCTGAGGTACGGGCCAGGAGCAAGGAACAGCTATGGACGAAAGAACAATCATAAAGCTTATGCTCATCCGTAGCATCATCATCATCATCATCATCGTCACCATCCTCATGATGAAGGTCATCATCATATTTGTCAGACATCTGGCAACATGGACAGGTAGTCTGTGGCTTGCCAAACGCAACACACGGAGTTCTATAGGGGCCTTAATGATTAGAATTGGGTTTTGCGAAATCTTATGCTATAATAACAAGGAACCCTAACAATAATATTGGTAGTTATTTCGGCCCCTGTAGTACTTCTCACTTACCCAGATGCCGGGCAGACCAGCATGAAGAACAGGAACTCAGTCCACATCACGGCGAAATACTCGAAGTCCGATCTATAGCCGAGCGCATGAAGTTCTGGCCTTCCGATCCAAGCAAAGGGAGCAAACGACAAGGTCCAGGGCAACATTGCCAGCACACAGACCTCATCTGTTCGACGAGCATATCGAGAAGCTCAAGCTGCGATGCTTAACAAAAGCTGCACCAGGTGCAAAACGATCCTGAGCAATTAGTTGCAAGGCGCGGCATAAGGTATATCAGTCACCTCCCCAAGATCTGCGACCACTGCATCACGCATTGGACCTTGTACATACTTGTTGAACTCTTCCAGGCAATCGTCATGTTTCGCAAGGCCCGTCACAGAGCGCAAAGCAAGACGAGCTGAGAAGGTCAAGGACGAATCGATGAGCTCCTCGAGGCGAGACTACTTCCCAGAGATCCCAATACCCCGTAAATAAGGAATATATCAAAGATAATACTAGAGATGCTACTATAACTTAAGGTATATTCCTTAACTAAGGTAGGGGCCTTAATCATTTTCATAGGGTTTTGGGGTTATAATTTATAAGAAGGAGCCGCCAAAATAGTACAGGTAGTTATTTAGGCCCCTTTAATACTTCTCGTTCTGAGGAGTGACCGTCTGGTTCTTAGTAAATGGGGGAATGCATTATGGAGACGATTCTTGGGATTATATGGGGGCTACTTTTCAGGGATCCAGTCCCCCATTTCCTACTAAGCACCAGGGAGATGAAATCCTTGAGAGCAATGGATTAGAAGGCCCCCCCCCCCCCACCCTGCAATAGTGGTATAAAAGGAATATAATAGGACCCTAATATGATCCTTATGGTCACTACTTGGAGGTTCATGGGTAGCTATAAGTGGAGTTATAAGTCCCCTAATATGGGTTATAATTATGGTTACCTTACTTATAACCCCACTTATAAGTACCCATGAACCTCCAAGTATTACAGGGTGGGGGGCCTTCTAAGCAATGGACCACGATGCTTTCAGGCTCGGACGATGAAGCTTTCAAGTCTGTAGAATGCCCCCGACGTCCAACACCAAACTTTTGGAGCCTCTCCTCTACTTGGAGGTTCATGGGTAGTTAAAATAAGTAGGGTAACTGTACTTATGACCCATATTAGGGGACTTATAACCATACTTATAACTACCCATGAACCTCCAAGTAAACCCAAGTAAGCCCTAAAGCCCAGGAGCTGACGGCTGAAGGGGATTACAAGGGAACCTGAACCCTAAGAAAAGGGAATCAGGGACTCAGTAAGTAAGGTTATAAGTACCTTAATTGGGGTTCTAAGTATAGGTACCCTATCATGACTCCCCTAAGAGAAGGGAATAAGGGCATACTGGTGGCCCTCGACTTCGATGTCCAAAAACCCTGAAGGACACCTCGAAGAGTTTCAGGAAGCTCATTGTTTCCCATGGCGGATGATTAGGGGTTTAGGGTTCCTTTAAAGAGGTCTATAAGGGATACTATAAGGGATCTATAGTAGAGCTACCTGAAGGTGCCAGCTGACGGGCGAAAAAGCCACGTCCCTATGTACTTACTTGGAGGGTCAGCGGACTTAGTAACTGGTAATTTTAGGGACTTACAAGTACCATAACCCCAATTGGGGTCCGTTTTAGGGTACTTATAAAGTCTACTTACTATCTACTTACTAAGTCCCTGAACCCTAAACCCTAAACCCTATACTACCCTTATAGAGCCCTTTACAGGAACCCTTAGAATCCCCTTTAACGGAGTCCTTACTAAGTCCCCTAAAGACCCCCCAAGTAGCTGAGACAAGCCAAAGCTCCTGCTCCTCCTCTTCGCGCACCTAGGGCCCCAGTAGCTCGGTACTATAGGGGCCGTAAGAGTTAGACTGGGGTTTTAGGGATCCTTTAAAGGGGTCTATAAGGGTTACTATAATGGATCTATAGTAGGGTTCCATAGTTTAGGGGTCTTAGCAATGAGAAGAGGTTTTGGGGCCCATTATACTGTAGTTATAATCAGGAATCCTCCTAAACTAGGATTGGTAATTATTTCGGCCCCTGTAGTAAAATACCCGCATCAGAAGAATCCAATCGCAGACCAAGACAAGGCATTAGATTGCCAGCACACACTCTTGCAAGCCTCGAAGATTTCCCAATACCAAAAAATGAAAGCCATGACTTTGACAGACGCGGCCACTTCGATAGGCACCACAATGACGGGATCATCGAGCCCGTCGAAGAGCCGCGCCACCTGGGCCTGCACTTGCGGTTTTAACTTTGTCGAGGGTGTTGCTCGTGTCGAGTTTGCGTTCACCTACATGGTCCAAATCATGCAGGCAGGATGAGGGTCAAAGGCCCTGGCAGTAGAGTTTCAGGGAAACGGGAACACCCCCAAGATGAATGCCAGGTTGTAGAATCCTGGCAAGACCTAACACAACTGGAACCCGAATCTTTGGAAGCCGCCGATCCTTATGCTTCTTTCGTGGCAGCTTGCTTTGGATGAAAACCTTTTTGGTGACTGATACATACGAGAAACGGCCAGAGTGCGGCTGAAGTCTTATTCTTCCGGATGGTAAGCAGCTTCTGGAATAGTGCCTTACATAGGGGCCTTACTAATTCAAAGAAGATTTTGGGGCCCATTATACTATACTAATGATAAAGCACCCCCCAAAGTAGTATTGGTAATTGGTTTAGGGCCTTATACTATTTTGTGTGAGGAAGGGGCCTCTGTCGTTTTGCTATTTGTTTTCTGCGATTGCAAAGTTTTTCACGTGACTAAGCAATGACAGCGAAAATGATATGAGGACAATCCGAGTCTGAGTATTCAGTCTCCTGCTGGGTTGGTGCTTGGGTACACGAGCTTGCAGGAGGTGGACTCCACGGTGCTCCATGGCTTTATGACAGTAGTCGCTGTCCCGTAAGAAACCTCATGGGTGTGTGTGTGTGCTGTGCCAGCGCTTCTCACTGCGGTTGTCGTTACCCCAACATTGTATCCGTACAGAAACCCCCAAGAGGTTGATCAGGCTCCCCAGAGAACCCAATACCCTTAATTAAGGAATATACCTTAAGTTATTATAGAGGCCTTAATATTATGAGTTAAGGTATATTCCTTAATGAAGGGGATTAGGATTTCTGGTATGGCTACTATTTGCTTAAGAACCCCCCAAAAAATAAAATAATAATCCCTATATTACCCCCATAAGGAATATATATTTTTATTTTTTGGGGGTTCTTAAGCAAATAGTAGATGGATAGGCGCGCGCGAGTTGTGGCCCACCGCCTCGATGATATTGCGGTCGTCTCAGCACATTTGGGGCATGTCGCACATCGAAGGAGTCCATGGCTTTCCAGCATATTTCTGTGTCCATCCAACTTCTTATTCTTTTGGAAAGAGACAACGCCGACCATGATGGGTGGCAGACAGAAGAGAAGGACAACTTGACCGTCCAGCGCATACTCACGCAATCGCTGCAATCCAACTGCGAGCGCATTGGTGTCACCCCCTACTAACTTGACAGCATCGCCAGGATCAGCGAACTGTGTGAAGATAGCGAGGAGCCGAGCTGAACAATAAGAGAACAACATCGTCGTCAACAGCCACGGGGTGAGCCACAGTGGCATAAGCCGAAGATTTTGGAGACCGTGGCTCTTCACGAAAATCGACAGCTCAAAGTTGCACCAGAGCCTTCTTGATGGAAGAACCGCAAAGGCGTTCAGAGTTTCCAATACAAAAGTTTGTAAAACTAGCTTTCTTATTTTAGGCCGCTCAGAATGTGTGAGAAAGGCTTGGACAATCGAAAGGAAGGAACCGTTCGAAGTATGACTTGTCCCAGAGGACGAGCATTCGAAAAGAGTTTGCCACGATTGTGGGCAAGCCTGCGATCCCTTCAGACTTTGTTGTCTCATCGGTTTGGTCCACGCAGAGCCTGTCCAGCCAGAAGCGAGGACCCCAGTCTCCGCAAGTGAGGTGCTGCCCAAAGAAGAACACCAGGAAGAATGTCATAACCGGGATATCCAGCAAGAACACGAACATCATGTGGATGGGCATATCAGGAAAATAACCGAGCATGAGGGCTTCGGTGAACATGGCAGATGCAGTCATTGCCTTCGCTGCCGAACCCAAGTTCCTGGATGCTCCGCGGGAAACAACACCCGAAGCTACCACTGACTGAGGAGGGAACTAGTTTCGTGCATGTCGGGTTATGCTTTTAGGGTGTGCAAGTTCGCACCCAGATGAGACATTCATCCTTAAATCGACCACGGTGCAGAAAGTAGCACACGGCCAAGTATTTTTCCCACCGGTCAGCTGACCAGGAATGGCTGATGAATACATCCACGTCCTCGACCTCAGATAGACTTTGCCGGCTGATTCTGAACTGGAAAGACTTGTGCAAAGCCCCACAGCGCAGCCTGACAGATAAAAGTCGCTCTCAAAGCTAGGGAGGCATTGTTCCCCGGAAGTTGCGAGACTTCTATCCTGGACCCTAAACCCTGAACCCGCTCTTACCACTAGACCCTGTGGCCCAAATCGCCTCAAGGCCCTTTGTGGCTTCTCCTTTCGGCTCAACAATCCCAGAGTACTCGGCATCGATGCCTAAGGTAAGCTGTCGCAAATTCTTGGAGCAAATCGGTTGGAAGGTCTACTTTCAACTACCATAACCTTCGATTTTGTAAGCTCTCGTCATGAGCCCGAAGATCGACGTTGTATGTAGGGACGTTTGAAGGCTTGAGCCGCAGGGCTTCGCGTCCAGAGTATGGTTCTTGGGGTCTCGGTCTTGTCATCTGGTCTCCACCTACTTGTCCAGCTTCCTGGGGAACTAAAGGTTAACCTTTGGGAGTAGGTAAATGGGAGCTTTCGAAAATTAGGGGTACCTTATTTGGGGGTCCTTGCAATAAGGATCCTACTATTTAGGGTACTGTCTTTGGGCCCCCCATTTTTCGGAAACTCCCAAATCAGGGTTTCTATAGGGAGTCTAGCACCCAAACAGGTGAAAGGTTACTTGCTCTACTACGAGGTCCATTTGAACGGGTTGAGTCAGCATCGCGCCAACCAATCCATTCCTGGATGTTCGACAATCACAAGGCGAGGCGCTGGTATGGTACTCCGAAAATCAGCGACGCTCGCCGTGTTGAAGGCTTGTCTCAGCAGAGTCTTGATGTGGTTTTGGGGTTTGGGGTAGAAGCCGGCTACACCCTAAACCTCGCTGTTCATGCATGACCATAGTTCTCGAGGTGCTTCGAACTTTGCTCATGATCGAAGCGCTTCTGCGGACGACGGCGGATGTGATAACAGGGCCAGAAAGGCAAAGAACTATCCTGTTTCTTCCGAGTTGCCCGCAGCCTGACAGCAGCTTTATGCCTGGGCCATGTGTAAACTTGCATTTCAAAAAATGGTTCCTTTAAGGAACAAGTCCTAAACAAGGAAGCAAGTATGGTACTCCGAACCCTACACCCCCAAACCCTGAACCCTAAAAAGGTCCTGAAACATGGTTTAGGACCTTTAAAAGTATCGTTACAGGGGCGAAAAACGTATAGATTTTTTCATGAAAGTATGGTACTCCAAAGCCCAGAATTGGCCTCATGAGGCCGAAAAGGTCCAAGTAACAGTACTCGGAGGTTCATGGGACATAGCAAGTACGGGTTGAAGTACCTTGACTAGGGATATAACCCATTATAAGTGTAGTTCCCATATTTATAACCCTAGTTACTAGATACCATGAACCTCTAAGTATGGTTTATCCTTTTGGGACGCAGACCTCCGCCGAGAGACCCCACTATAATGGTACATGGACCCTTCTTCCCGATAAACCCTATAAAGCCCTTAAAGGAACCCTTAAACGGACCCTATGGGATGTACTCTAGAACCCCCCTAAACATTAAACCCGACTCTAAACCCTAAAGAACCCGTATAGAACCCTTAAGGTACCCTTACAGTACCGCTTATGGAGAACCCTCTAAGGGCCCTATTTTACGTACGATCGAACCCCAAAATCCTAAAGCCCTAAACCCTAAAACCCGTAACCCTAAAGCCCTAAAATCCTAAAGCCCTCAAGCCTAAAACCCTTAACCTCAAAACCGAAAATCTTAAAGCCCTGAAACCCTAAACCCTAACACCCTTAACCCTAAAATCCTAAAACCCTAAAGCCTCATGAGGTACAGAATTTTAAAACCCTAAAATCCTAAAGCCTCATGAGGTATAGAACCCTAAAACCCTAAAGCCCTAAAGCCTCACGAGGTACAGAACCCTAAAACCCTAAAGCCCTAAAGCCTCATGAGGTACAGAACCCTAAAACCCTAAAGCCCTAAAGCCTCATGAGGTATAGAATCCTAAAACCCTAAAATCCTAAAGCCTCAAAATCCCTCTTGAGGTATAGAACCCAGATGCTGGAAGTCGCACGAAAGATTCCGCTGCGGCAGAGTTCACCGGCCCTCTCCTTCAATCGCCACATGGCGTTTGGTTTAATAAGGACTCCAAAACTACTATTTGCTTAAGAACCCCCAAAAAATAAAAAAGTATATTCCTTATGGGGGTAATATAGGGATTATTTCTTTGATTTTTTGGGTGTTTCTTAAGCAAATAGTAGTTTAAGGACTCCAAAAAGCACATACGCATAAGCACTTTACATGGGATATCCCTACCTTATGGGGCTTCGTTATAAGGAGTTTATATGTGATATCCATATCCTGATTCTTGCTTATGTGATTCTTTGGGGCCCTATGGTTTCCGCCCAGGTGCGACCTACTATTGTATCCTACCTAAGGCTACCTTGACTTGGGTGACTGTGACTTCGACGATGAGTTCATAGGTTGCAAACTTCCGTTACTCCAGATGAACTCTGGATTCGAGAATCGAAGGGACCTGCAAGGTTTGAGCCAAGAGATAGGAGGGAGCGCCAGCTTGACAGGAAAAACTACATCGTCATCATTGCAGACACCGCGGTCATCATCATCGCTATGATGGTCGTTTTCGTCATACTCGTTGCCATCGTCGTCGTACCCATCGGAGTCATCATTACCATCATCATCATTATCGCCCCATACGGCTTCTGCTAACACTAACTCCACAAGTAGTACTAGTGCCAGTTCCACTATGGGTTTCTTTCAAGCCTTTGGCGTGGGGGTGGCATGGAGAGTGCTGGGTGAGGGTGGGCGGTTGGTTAGTAAAAACCTAGTAGGGACGTGTTTAGCCTCTTCATGTGGTTGGCCTCTACATCATCGTCTCCGTCCCGGTCATCAACGCTGGTTCACAGCGCCTCTTCAAAATCAACATCATCGTCATCGTCATGCTCATGGACGACGATGTTGCTCATGGTGATGATGATCTAGCTCCCCACAAGTCGAACCTGAAGGCTTCGGTTCTTTAAAAGGGTGCCATAAGCGCCCCTTTAAGGGTTTGGGGGTTCAGGCTTTCTGGTTGCTTTTTGTTGCGCAGAAATCACAATACCCCTTAATAAAGGAATATACCTTAAATCATAATATCAAGGCCTCTATAATTTAAGGTATATTCCTTAATCAAGGGGTATTGGGTTCGCTGGGTGAGGGCTTACAGCCAGGGCCGGGTTTACGGGCTCCCACACAATGCAGTCCTCAAGACCTAAACCCTAGAGGGTTTTTAGGGTTCAAAGGATGCTATAAAGGATCGTGGGGTTCCATAGCAGGGGGCCTTAATAATTAGAATAGGGTTTTGGAGCCCAGTTTACTACAAATTTGTTTTGGAACCCCCCCCAAAGTAGTATAGGTATTTGTCAAGGCCCCGATATTAGATACCTTCAGCCCTGAAGACCTACCTTCCAACACCCCAACGGCCTGAAGCCTTCAAAAGCACCAAGGCCAATTCACTACAACAGTTTCCGTTTGCTTAAATTTAAAGGGTGCAAACTAGCGTTACCTTTAAGGGTTGTGGGGTTCAAGATTTATGGTTTCTTTCTGTTGAGGTTTGCTTGCCGGACTGCCAGGTAAATACACAATTACCTTACTCGGCAGGAGACTTCAGAACTCAAGCCTTGGGATGTGAAGCTTTCAAGCCATCGGGTTGGGGAATAATCTAGGAGCCTTAATCATTAGAATAGTAGATAACTGGGAGTTTCCGCAAATTAGGGTGCTACTATCTAAGCTATTATATGAGGGTCCCCTATTCTCAGAAAACCCGAACTGAGTGCTTCCATGCATGTTGCTCAAAGTCGAGGCCCCAGTTCAGGCTGCCATAAGGTTACTAGAAGGCTTCCACTAGGTTTCAATCTTACCATGAAAGGGTTCCATAAGGCTACTATAAAAAGCTACTATAACGGTGCCCTAACTGCTCTTTGCCAATGCCTTCAATGAAACTTCCGAAATCCGACACTCCTTTGGCTTAGGGTTGCGGGTGTACGTCGCCATCCCGCACTTGACACAAGGCCAAGTTAGCTTCAACGACGCCTACTTTCTTGGTTGCTCGGATCTGAAAGTCTGAATGTAGAATGTGAATACAGGACATGGGATTTGCTTTTGCGGGCCGCGCTGTAGCCCCACAGCTTCGTATGGTAACAGGGCCTTCTGCTTTGCAGAAAAGCCCTTCAACCCTACATCTCCACTTATCTGCGGGCTCGCACAAAGGGAAGATTGGTCGCTGGGATCTCCGGTGACGAGAATAGCCAAACAGCATCTCAACCCTGCATGCCAACCTCTCTGCTGGATTTTTGCTGCCACCCTGCGCCGAAGAGCATGTAATGTTGGAGCATGGCGGCGACGACTGCAAGCACGAGAAAGCATAGGAAGGCTGGGTGCTGGGTCAAGGTAAAGCTCTCCAGCAATGCAGCTGCAAAGGAGCTCTCAAACCTTGTAGGGTCTCCGTTCAAAGTTTACAAAGGAGGAGCCCGCTGCAGCAACAGAATAGTAATCCAGTACATCCATGCTACAGTACAATCTTGCGTTGCGCCTTGCTTCTGTCTTGCGCTGGAGAAGGCGTACTTTTAGGAGAGACGCTCTAGCATAGGCCCGCTCCTGAAAACCTAATGTTTCGGATGCCTGGCTAGTGTTTACACTCCAAACAGGATCGCGAGATATTCGCCTCAGGGCAGCTATAGCCGAGGACTCGGACAGTGGCCGGTAAGCCAGGAGTATCCATGAAGGAAACGCTTGTGTAAACTACTGCTTTTGGTTGAAGCTTCTTGTAACAGCCCGGACCAAGGAGCTGAACCATACTGAATGTGAGCCATCCGCAACCGAATGATGCGGCTGCCCACAGAAAGCCGTGGTCGAAGCTCTCGTCGAGATACTTCACACATCGGAGCAAAAAGGGAAATGCCGCCTGGGGTCGGAGTCTGAGAAAGGGATCAGTCTTCACGGTACCGTAGAAGCCGGAAAGTTGGAATATCATTATCGTAACCCCTTTAAGGTAAATCATAGGGGATCCTACCATAAATCCATATTCCAACTTTCTGGAGTTCCCTTTAGGGGCTTTAGACTGCAAAGCAGAACTCAATTCACATGTTTGTTTTCGGCAAATGCAGCAAAAAAGTCTTTGTCACAGGCCCAGAAGCAGGGGACAACACCATGAAGAAGAGAAACTCAGCGAAGCTCACGGCAACATACTCGAATTCAGATCGATAACCAAGGGCATGCCATGTATGCTTTACCACCCAAGCAAGAGGAGGATAGGCCAACGTGTAGGGGAAGCTGGCCAGCAGGCAAACCTCAGTTTTCCGTGAAGCTGGGTCTGGAGTTTAGGATGTTGTCCTTTAGGAAACACGCCGTAAGCGCAAAGAGATCCTGCGAAACAAATTGCAAGACACGGTATAAGGTATGTCAGTCACGTCCCCGAGATCCGCGACAACTGCATCACGCAGTGGGCCTTGCACGTACTTGTTGAACTCTTCCAGGCAATCGTCATGGTTGGCAAAGCCGGTAACGGAGCGCACGGCAAGACGAGCTGGGTAGGTCAACGAGATGTCGATGAGCTCCTCGCAGTCAAGGTAGGTCTGGGTTTACGGCGGCGAACACTGTATCCGCACAATCTGCGACCTTGACAATTAGAAAAGGATTTCGGAGGATACCATACTGTAATTCCGAAGCACAAGGCATAGCAAATTTTTCAGGCTTCTACATTGGCGACCCTCAGGCCGCATCCACAACACATTCTACACCGTCAACGCACGCAGAAACAATTACCTTGACTTCTCGTTTCCGGGCCACAACAAAAATCAAGGAACCCAACAGAAGAATGTGCACCCTCGGTACGAGGCCGAACTATTCACCTCGATCCCGCCTGGTTGCGGATCTCTCGCGATTTTACAGTAGTTCGTATGCCTAAACGGAGCCCTTGATTATTCGGAGGCTTGGAGTCACCCGCTCTTCTGCCTTCCCTTTCGGGGTTTCGGGTCTTGCATGTGTGCTCCTGCCGCTCGTCGTCGAATTCGCCTGTCTTTACCACCTAAGACGTGGGAGGAATGTGGACGGGACATTTGGAAGCTGGGGGTCCTTAAGACAACGACCTCCAATAAAAAGGCCAGTCCCCAACAACATCAAGTTCAGCCCTTGCTACCGTCATTGACATTTGTAGGCCTCTGACATATAGCGTGAAAGTACTATGAAAACAGGCGAAGACTTTGACAGACTCGGCCGCTTCGATCGGCACAGCGATGATGGGATCCTCCAGCCCGTCGAAAAGCTCCGCCACTTGGGCCTGCAATTGGAGCATTGCACGGAGCTTTTGTCTGCTCCAGGGTGTTACGGAAACCCTAAGCCCTAAACCTAATATAGGGACCTTAATGATTAGAGTAGGGTTTGGGGGCCCATTATACAAAAATTAGAATAAGGAACCAGCAACATTGTATTGGTAATTATTTAGGCCCTATATGATTAACTAGAAGCCTCCCACTTCCATCCAAGGCCTGAGTGGAGTCTGAACCATGCTGGGATGGGTTGAGCTACAGGGTGTACGACGTGGCTTCTGCGAGTGGTATTCTAGGTTCCTGCAAACGGCATTACTTAAGATGTGTTGGCCCTTCACCCCCAAAAATGCGCATACCTTAAGCCCACGTAACCTACCGATTTAAGGACTTATACAAAGAGCTCATATTAGGGAACCCTACAAGGTAGGTTCCTTAGGGTCGAGGTACATATGGGGAAAGATTGAGGGGAGTTCTTGAGCTGATGTAGTGAGGCTAGGCTTGAGGGGGCAGTTGGCACACGGCGCCTCGATGACGAAACGGTCGTTCTCCACAGCACATTTGGCTCTTCGTACATCAAAGGAGTTCATACTTTCCAACATATCGAAATGTCCATCCAACTTCTTTTGGAAGGAAACAAGACCAATCAGTATGGGTGGTGCCCAGAAGAGCATGCAAGTTTGATTTTGCAGCGCATATTCATATATTAGATGTAGTCCGAATGCAAGTGCATCGCCCTCAGCTCCTGTGAACTTGCTGGTGTTACCGACGACGAAGCTCGGATCAATCTCTAGAAAAGCGGAGGTGAGCCGAGCTGAAACGTAAGAGAGCAACATCGTCGTCAGCAGCCACGGAGTGAGCCACAGTGGCACGAGCCGCAACTTCTTGAGACCGTTGCTTTTCACGAAAATCGACAGCTCAAAGCTGCACCAGAGCCTTGCCGTCGCAAATGGGTTCAGGGTTTCAACAATGGAGCTTACCCAGGAGGTTGGCCCTCCTTCAGGTTTCTTACTGAAAACCGCTCAAGCTGCGCACAAAGACTTGAAGAATGCCAAACAAGTGGCCGTTCGCAATATGACTTGTCCCAGAAGACCAGCAATTCGGACGCGTTCGCCACGATCGTGGGCAAGCCTGCGATCCCATCAGACTTTGTTGTCTCATCGGTTTGGTCCACGCAAAGCTTGTCCAGCCAGAAGCGGGGACCCCAGACTCCCCAAGTGAGGTGCTGCCCAAAGAAGAAGAACAGGAAGAAGGCAACGACTGGCAGGTCCAGCATCAAAAGGAACATCATGTGGATGGACATGTCGGGAAAAACCAGCATGAAGCTTTCCGAAAGCACCACAGATGCTAGCATTGCCTTTGTCGCCAAACCGAGGTTCCTGGATGTTGCTGGCAAGAACTTAAACTGAAGCTGCCTCAAAGACAGAAGGTACTCTTACAACACTTATTACAGCTCACACTCGGATGAGACGACTTCCTTAAAGCGACCGCGGTGCAGAAAGTAGCACACGGCCAAGTATTTTTCCCATCGGCCAGACGACCAGGAATGGCTGATGAACACATCCACATCCTTGACCTTAGACCACTGTGCGCGTGCTGGTTTTGTCAACCCGGTTCATCTTACCACGCAACAAATCTCAGCCTCGGTAAGGCTTTAGCCCTGCAAATCGTGAGACTTGGATCCAAAAAGCTTTGAAAGTCTGGGGGTTTAGCGTCGAGGAATCTCACGACCTTCTTTCGCATGCTGAAGACAGCAGTCTTTTCGGTTAAGCTGTAGAGTGCTTGGTCTTAGAAACCAAGATGAGGATCTTGAAGCCCAGCGACCAACACTATCACATATGCACAGAAGCTGGTGTTCAAGCAGATGAAGATGGCAAGAAACTGACGCAAAACAGGCACAGTGTTCCCAGGCAGTGCTTTTGAAGCCTTTGAAAACCATTAGCAAATAAGATCCTCTTAAGCCCAATAAAGGGAGAATATGCAGCGTCCCAAAGCCCTACCTGGGGCACAGTGTTCGAAGTCCACTACCCCTTAATTAAGGAATACACCTTCGATCATATGGGGGATCCTACAATAACTTGAAGTATTTTCCTCAATTAAGGGGTATTAGAACTCCCTAAGCCCTAAACTCTATAGATCCCTTAAAGGAACCCAAGAGATATATTAGGGATCCTACTATATTGTTATTACTATTATTATTATCATTATTATTATTAGCATTAAGGTATTTTCCTTAATTAAGTATTGGGATCTCTGAGAAGTTGAAGCCTCGAAGTCCAAAGCCAAGACGCTTACTGTTGATGGACAAAACCCTGCATTACCCTTTATACTTACAGGCTCATGGGACTTAGTAACTTTAAAGGGGTCCTTAAAGGGATCTATAGGGATCCTTAAGGGGATCTATGGGGTTTAGGGTCTACTTAAAGGCTCATGGGACTTAGTAAGGTTATAAGTAGGTTATAATTAGGATAACCCCACTTAGGGGACTTATAACCCCAATTATAACCTACTTACTAAGTCCCATGATCCTTCAAGTAAGGAATATACCATAGTTCCCGCAGTTTAGAGTCCTTAGGGTCATGCAGGGATTTGCCCATCAACAGTACGACACATGAATTTGCAGCCTGAGGTGGCGACTCCCCCTTAAAACCTTAATCATGAGCTGTCAATCCTTAAGCTCCTAAACCCTAAGCCCAAATCATACACACTAAAGAGACCCCGATAAAGTCTTCTGCGCAGAAACCTGCACAAAGCTGCTCAAACACTCGAAACCTGAGCGGCGCCTATCCCAAAGGCACATCGCGGCAAGGATTCAAGTGTAGGGTCAGGCTTGGAGTTTATCATCGGGACCCTTAGGGGGGTAGGGGGCTAGACTTCCTTAAATAAGCCTCATTAGCTCCCTATTATGGGCATTAAGGCCTCCTACCACCCCCTTTCCCCCTGCCCCCCTGAGGGACCCTATGAGTTTAGGGGTCCCCTTCGAGCGTACTTGCTTTTACAAGCTTTAGGGTTTGGCGCTTGTAAGGCTTCGGGATCTTTTGGGCTGTTCGTAAGAACTTGCCGAGCGCCGCTCAATACTTGCCGTTAACTTAGAGGCTGAGAACCCAAGGCACACAAAAGGTTAACCTTTTGAACTATAGTAGGGGTATATAAGCCCTATAGAACCCTTAAGAACCCTCTAAAGAACTCTTATAGAACCCCTATAGAACCATTATAGGAGCCCTTATATAAGCCCCAACGGGTTAAAAGGTTACCTAACCAGCTCCTAAGTCAAAGAACTTTTGAGGCACCTTGAGATTCTCTTATGAACCCTTCTGGAAGACTTTGTGGAAAATGTAGGGGCCTGAGTAGTTAGAATAGGGTTTTGGGGCCCATTCCACTCTAATTATAGTGAGGAACCCCCAAAAGGTTAGATCATAGGGATCCTTAGGGGTGTAGGGGGGAGGGGTGTAGGGGATTATATTTCCTTAAATAGGCCTTATTAGTCCTTATTATGGGCCTTAAGGCCCCCAACCCCCCCTCCCCCTACACCCCTAAGGATCCCTATGATTAGAGGCTACCTATTCAGCCCCTAAGTTAAAGCCCATGGCCGGCAACGCGGACTACTTTGTACCCAGAGAACCCAAGGGGCCCCTTCCTAGTGTTCCTTTAAGGGATCTATAAGGGACCTATAGCGTTTAGGCTTCAGGGGATTCTAATACCCCTGAAGTAAGGAATGTACCTTAAATCCTAATAGTAGGGCCTCTAATTTTCAAGGTATATTCCTTAATTAAAGGGTATTGGGCTCTCTGGGTAGCATGGTTTGGTTCTTTTTCAGCTGACTGCGACCGTTTGTAAGTTTGCGAGATCTTACCTGGGATCTACAGTGTATGCGGTTAGATCTTAGACAGGGTTTTGGGGTGTAGCAGATTCTTGCGGTCATCTTGTTTCCGTCATGGAGGGCTTGAGGGCACATTGCATCTTTGCTCGACGGCATTTCAAAGGCGAGTCGCAGGGGTGGTACTCCGAAAGTCTCCGATGCTCTCTGTATCGAAGATCTTCCTCAGAAGGGTCTTGATGTCGGTGGGATGTTGGGCCTAATTCTTGCATCGTTCAGGGCTGAGTGGGGGACCTACAAATCTACAAACCACCGAACCCCGTGCAAGGCTGTGGCCCTTCTTTGTGGCTAGTCAGCGCATCACAGCGGGATTAAAAAGGCCCAAAAGGTGCAATGAAACTTCCGAGACGCCCCAAACCTGACAGCACCCCCACGCTGGAAGCGGCCCGAAATATACCGTTTCGGCACAGTTCACTGGCCCTGGCCTTCCATCGTCGCATGGATTCGGCCGGAAGATAGCTAACCGTAGCCCCGACTTCGGGGGCTTCACATTGGAGCCTCGAGGCCTCAAACACCTGCAGTGCAGTTGTTGGGCATGACGTCTCACAATGTGGACATCCCTCCGCATCAACAACATCAGCAACCACCACCACCACTACCAGCAGCAAAGGCACCCCCCACCACGATGACGACGACTATTGCTGCTGCAGTCGCAACTTAAAGGAAGCTTATGCTTTGCTCTTCTGGCCAGCAACCTTCCAAGCTCGGCAGGTTGCCTCAAAATGGTCTTGGTGGCTCTGGGCTCAGGTCTGGGGATGCGACATTTCCAGTCCGGGAGGGTCCTTGGGGTTGGAATGTGTACACAAAACGTGGGAATCCTTTTTGCGTGCTGTAGCCCTGCAGCCTCGTGGGATATCATGATTATTTAAAACACAGAGCGGGGCTGTCTGCTTTGCAGACGAACTCCCGAATCCAGCATTTCAATCTCTCTGCTGGATCTGTGTGACCACCATGCACCGAGAAGCACCACAACGACGATGCACGATGGGATCTCCGGTGATGAGAACAACCAAATGGCGCTTCAACCCTGCGTCCCAACCTCTCGGCTGGATTTTTGCTGCCACCCTGCACCGAAGAGCATGTAGTGTTGGAAGATGGCGGCGAGGACTGCGAGCACGAAGAAGCACAACCAAATTGGCTGCCGGGCTATGATAAAGCTATCCAGCAATGCAGCCGCGGTGGAACACTCAAGCCTTGTCGTCGCCATTCAGGGTTTACAAACGAGCAATGCAGCAACAGATTAACAATACCGGACCAATATTTGCTCTCCAGAATAGCTGTTGTTTGATTCTAGTGCTCCCGCGTGCTGTCATGCCACGAACATTCTTTTGTTTATACACTGGTCTCAACACTGTTCAGCCATTAGGCACCTCCGTCCTTCTGACTGTCTCTCTCTCTCTCTCTCTCTCTCGCTCTCTCTCTCTCTCTCTCTCTCTCTCTCTCTTGCTCCTTCCCGAACATATAACATATTTATACTAGTAATTACAGGTACCAGTACTTGGACCAGTACGGGTACGCGGAGCTGCTACTACGACTGCTGCTACTACTACTACTACTACTACTACCACCACTGCTACTACTACTACTACTACTACTGCTACTACTATCACTACTACTACTACTACAACAACTACTACTACTACTACTGCTACTACTGCTACTGCTACTGCTCCTGCTACTGCTACTACTACTGCTACTACTACTACTACTACTACTACTACTGATACTATTACCACTACTATTGCTATTACTATGCCTATTACTATTACTATTACTACTGTTGATGGACAAAATCCTGCATTACCCAGAATAAGCACTATACCATAATTCCCATAGCTTAGAGTCCTTAAGGTCATGCAGGATTTTGTCCACCAACAGTATTACTATTACTATTACTATCACTATTACTAGGACTACTACTGCGATGGCTACCACTACCACTATCACTTCGACTAACTACTACTACTACTACTACTACCACTACTACTACTACTACTACTGCTACTACTACTACTACTACTACTACTACTACCACTACTACCACTATTACTATTATTACTACGACTATGGCGACAACGACTACGACGACTACTACTGCTAATACTACGACGGACGACGACTACTATTGGTACGAGAGGGAGAGCTAGTGCTTGTGCCAGGTGCTAGTACTGCGACCAGTACTACCGCTGCTGGGGCTACTCTACTCTGCCACTATACTGGCAGTACTACGAAGAAGACGGTTACTACTGCTACTAGCTTTAATGAGAATGTGACAATGACAGTCATGACTGTCACAACCATTGATAACAATGATGTTAATCATCATATTCTTCGTAACGACGATGGATACAATGACAACAGTGAAGATAATGATAGTCATGATAACCGTGACAGTTCTGATGATAATAATGGAAACAGAATGTTCATAGTCATCATAATGATGGCAAGGATCTGATAATGGTGATAACGATGAGAATGATGGTATTGATGGCAGTGACGAGAAGGGCAAAACTGCTACCGAGAAGGAAAATAGCCAAGCCAATTGAAACATGTTGGTCCTCAGACATAGCTGGACTGGCACAGTGGCCGGAAAGGCCTGAAGTATCCATGTAGGAAACGCCGCGTCAAAAAACTAATACTTGCGGTGGAAGTTTTTTGTTGGTAACGGCAACCAGAAAAGCCAAGAAGCTGCACAATATTGAAGATGAGCCATCCGCAGCCGCATGCTGCGGCTGCCGACAACAAGCCGCGTTCGAATCTCTCGTCAAGATACTTCACGGATCGGAGCAACCAGGGAAAGGCCGCCTGGAGTTTTAGAGAACGACAGCGTTCACGCTTGAGGTTTAGGGCTTTTAGACTGCAAGGCTGCAAGGCAGAATCCAATTCACATGTTCGTTACAGCAATGCCAATAGGGACAAGCGTGCGGTGGTTCGGGACATGTAGCAAAAATTGTTCTTTGAGGCCCAGAAGCAGGGGACACCACCATGAAGAAGATGATCTCAATGAAGCTCACGGCTGCATACTCGACGGCAGATCGATAGCCAAGGGCATGCCATGTATGCTTTCCCGCCCAAATAATGGGAGGACAAGACAAGGTGTAGGGGAAGCTGGCCAGCAGGCAAACCTCAGGCTTTCCGTCAGGCATTTCGATGCAGGGTCTAGAGCTGAGGCTGTTGTTCTTTAGGAAAGACGCCGTAAGCGCAAAGAGATCCTGCGAAATAAATTGCAAGACACGCTATAAGGTATGTCAGTCACGTCCCCGAGATCCTCGACAACTGCATCACGCAGTGGGCCTTGCACGTACTTGTTGAACTCTTCCAGGCAATCGTCATGGTTGGCAAAGCCGGTAACGGAGCGCACGGCAAGACGAGCTGAGTAGGTCAACGAGATGTCGATGAGCTCCTCGCAGTCAAGGTACGTCTGCGTTTACGGCGGCGAAACCTGTATCCGCATAATCGTAATATGCAGCCTTCATCAGTTTCATCGGTTTTCGGGGGATATCATACTATAATTTCGAAGCGTCTGGAACATCATGGAGAATTAATCGGCCTTTTGCATAGGTGACCCTAATAACGCCACATGCTCTATAATCACTCGAGGAAAACTGGTCAATAAACCTCCTTCCTTCACTGGCGGTAGATATGAGGATCCCTACTTCCATTTTAGAGTCAACGCACGGAGGAACAATTCCCTTGACTTCTCCTTTCCGGGCCACAACAAACCACAACAAATATCAAGGAACCGAACATAAGACTTCGAACCCTCAGTAGGAAGCCGAACTATTCACGTCGATGCCGCCTGGTTGCGGATCTCTCACGGTTTTAGTTCGCCTAAACGGAGCCCTTGATTCTTCGGAGGCTTGGAGTAACCATCCCTTAAGCTTTCGGGCTTGAAGCTGCCCTTGAAAGGGCTTCGGTCTTACTGGCGTGCTCCTGCCGCTCGTCGTCGCCTTCGCCTGCCTAGGATGTGGATGCGGGAAGCATCGGCAGGAATGTGGACTGGAAATTATCGAAATTGACAACGACCTCCAGAACAAGAGACCAGTCTTTAACAAAACACCAAGATCAGCCCTTGCTACCATATATCGTGAAAGTATTATGAAAACCTGCGATGGCTTTGACAGACTCGGCCACTTCGATCGGCACAGCGATGATGGGTTCCTCGAGCCCGTCGAAAAGTTCCGCCACTTGGGCCTGCAACTGCAGTCCATGTGGAATTGCACGGAGCTTGCGTGTTTCAGGGGGTGTTACGGAAGCTCATACCAGAGATCCCAATACTCTCCAATTCAGGAATATACCTTAAATCAGAGCATTATAAGACCCCTATAGTTTAAGGTATATTTCGTAATCAAGAGACATTGGTATCTCTGAGTATTCCGTGCTCGAGGCTTGCTCCTGCGCCAAACCATTCGGAAACTCGGGTCTTCCGGTCGTGTCGTCCGTAGATATCTACTCCGAGATATTCATTAGAAGGGGCCCGACCCTGTAATATTGACTATAAGGATTATATTAGGGCCCCATTATATTCCTATGATACCACTATTACAGGGTGGGGACCCCTTCTAAGATATTCACCGGGAATGGGAGTTTCCGACAACGGGGGACCCTAATATAGTGCCCTAAATACCAGGATCCTTATTATAAAAAATCCCTAAATAAGGTACCCCTAATTTTCGGAAGCTCCCAAACCCTAAACCCTATAGATCCCTTATAGGATCCCTGTAAAGGAACCCTGAAAGGATCCCTTTAAAGGTACCCCAAATCAGGGTTCGGGGCCTAAGAGGCGCCATCACATTGGAGTCTCACCAAAAAGCCCCATTGCTAACAGGGCGAGGCCGGGCCGTTGTGTAAGCAACAGAAGAATTACGGTTTAGGGTTTAGGGGTTTAGGGGTTTAGGGTTTAGGGGTTTAGGGTTTAGGTTTTAGAAATGTTGAAGATTTTATAAGGTTGTTTTCGCCAGAGCTGCTCTATCGGGCGTCAGATGCGGGAACACAGGGACTTGCAAGGCCCCCAAGGGAAAAGGGGCGCACAGGAGTCAGACCGCTGCCCAAACACCGAAATCCCTAACACTTAAACCCCTAAACCCTGTGAGGCTAGGCTTGAGGGGGCAGTTGGCACACGGCGCCTCGATGACGAACCGGTCGTTCTCCACAGCACATTTGGCTCTCCGAACATCGAAGGAGTTCATACTTTCCAACATGTCCCGGTGTCCAGCCAACTTCTTTCGGAAGGAAACAAGGCCAACCAGCATGGGTGGTGCACAGAAGAGCATGTAAGTTTGATTTTGCAGCGCATACTCATATATTAGACTCAGTCCGAAAGCAAGTGCATCGCCCTCAGCTCCTGTGAACTTGCTGGTGTTATCGACGATGAAGCTCGGATCAAACTCGAAAAAAGCGGAGGTGAGCCGAGCTGAAACGTAGGAGAGCAACATCGTCGTCAGCAGCCACGGAGTGAGCCAGAGTGGCACGAGCCGCAAATTCTTGAGACCGTTGCTTTTCACAAAAATCGATAGCTCAAAGTTGCACCAGAGCCTTGCCGTCGCAAATGGGTTTAGGGTTTCAACAATGGAGCTTACCCAGGAGGTTGGCCCTCCCTCAGGTTTCCTACTGAAAACCGCTCAAGCTGCGCACAAAGGCTTGAAGAATGCCAAACAAGTGGCCGTTCGCAATATGACTTGTCCCAGAAGACCAGCAATTCGGACGCGTTCGCCACGATCGTGGGCAAGCCTGCGATCCCTTCAGACTTTGTTGTCTCATCGGTTTGGTCCACGCAGAGCCGGTCCACCCAGAAGCGACGACCCCAGACTCCACAGGTGAGGTGCTGCCCAAAGAAGAAGACCAAGAAAAAGACAATAACAGGGAAGTCCATTAGGAACCAGAACACTACGTGGATGTTCAAATCGGGGCAAATCAGCATGGAGCTTTCCGAAAGCACCACAGATGCCAGCATTGCCTTTGTCGCCAAACCGACGTTCCTGGATGTTGCTGGCAAGAACTTAAACTGAAGCCGCCTCAAAGACAAGAATGGACTCGTGCTACGGTTCAAAATCGGATGAGACGTCTTCCTTAAAGCGACCGCGGTGCAGAAAGTAGCACACGGCCACGTATTTTTCCCATCGGCCAGACGACCAGGAGTGGCTGATGAACACATCCACATCCTTGACCTCAGACCACTGTTGGTGCTTTTTGGGAGTTTCCTACAATTACCGGTACCTTATTTTGGGGGCCCTTCTAATAAGGATCCTATTATTTAGGGTACTATATTAGGGTCCCCTATTTTTGGAAACTCCCTCTTATGTCAAGCAGATTACTCTTCGACTTGTAACGCATCAAGTCTCAACCTGCGCTACGGTTGATGATATAAATCCCTGCATGACCTTAAGGACCCTAAACTATGGGGATATTGGTATATTCCCTACTATGGGTACTACTACCCTTAATAAGGACTATACCATAATTCCCATAGTTGCGGGTCCTTAGGGTAATCACCTTAAGGACCCTAAATCATGGGAATAATGGTAAATTCCCTATTATGGGTAATGCAGGATTTGTATCATGAACAGTATCAGGCCCACTCGGAGAGCCAGGCTGCAGGTCGCGAAACTCGGATCCCCGATGCTATAATATAGGGGGGCCTGAATTACCAATACTATCTTGGGGGTTCCTTGCTATACAACTATAGCAGAATACAACCCCAAATCCGTACTGAAATTAGGCCCCTTTAGTCGAAGGCTCTGGGCTTCGGGGTCGAGTGATCTCACCACCGGTCAAGATGGCATGGCAGAGCGATCCCGGAGAAAAGCCAAAAGCATGAGAGATCGTCAGTTTGATGATGAGAGGAACCCGACCCCTTAAACCCTGAGTCTCGGACCCTAACCCTTAAACCTTAAACCTCAAAGTGATGAAAGATGGGCGTGGACTGCCCTACACCTCTTTCGTTGAAGACCAGAGGGGGGGAGACCACGCCCCGAACAGGCACAGACAGGAGTTGTCGGGAGACCATGGGCCCTTCTCGAAAGATCACCGTGGACATGACGGGAAAGCCGAGCCACTTTTCTCTCTTCCGGAGGAGAGGGGCCCTAGTAATTAGAATAGGGCTTTGAAGCCGATTATACTCTAATTGTGATAAAGGGACCAACCTTCACGTTCTTTCGCATGCTAAGGGCACCGGAGAATTGGCCTGCTTGGTCTGACCAATTAAGGCGGGTTGAAGCCAAGCGATCAACGCCATCACATGTGCGCAAAGCTGGGCTTCAGAGATGGCCAGCAACTGCCACGAAAGGGGCATAATTCTGAGGATCTTAAAGACCATAAGCTCGCAGTCCCAAGACTCTTACAAGACATGAAATCGTAGCCTCTGCCCTCGGAAGTTCGACTTCGTTCGCGTTCCACGGCTCTCCGGCTTTCCTCCCCCCTGGACTGTCGGGTTCTTGGTAGGGCATGGGGGAATGGGTTATTGGGACACTATAGGGGAGTATACCGGGACTACTATGTGGATCCATGCCCCCATTCCCTACTAAGCGCCATGAGCCTTCACTTATTGAAACTAACCCTATGCCTTCATACATAGGCTGCGGCCCCCCAAACCAATAATAGTGTGTAATAGGGTTAGCTTAAATATCTGGCTTCGGTCTCTTTTGGGTTGATCGTAGGAACTTGTCGCGAATCATTCCATTCCATGCTTGCAGTCAAAGTCGCAGATAGGCTGCCGTTACTACATTGTCCCATCGCGCTCTTCTGCCCAACTGACCGTGATCATGCTGATATTTCTTACGTACTTGGGATCAAAAGTGTAGGATCGTCGCAGAACTTCGCATCGTCTTCTGCTGCAAATTTTTAGATCGAGTCTCGGGTGTAGGATCTTGTGTCCCTCTGGGCTCCAGGGCAACTTGAATCCAGATTCAGCATTTCAATGGCGAGTCACTGGGGTGGTACTCCGAAAGTCTGCCATGCTCTCTGTATCGAAGATCTTCCTCAGCAGGGTGGTGATGTCTCTGGGATGTGGGGCTCAACTCTTGCAGCTTCCGTAGAAATGCACAAGCCACCGAAACCCGCAAGCGTAAGGATCTAGCCCTTCTGGCTACTTGGGGGGTCGGGGGACTTAGTAACTGGTTTTTTTGGGGACTTATAAGTACCGTAACCCCAATTAGGGTCCTTTTTAGGATACTTATAAGTCTACTTACTAACTACTTACTAAGTCCCCTAAAGACCCCCCAAGTAGTGTATCACAGTGGCTGGGGATCTAAAATGCTCAAGTCCAGTCCGAGACGCCCCATACCTGACAGCACCCCCACGCTGGAAGCGGCCCGAGATATACCGTTGCGGCACAGTTCGCTGGCCCTGTGCTTCCATCGTCGCATGGCTTCCGGCGCCCAAAGATAGCTAAGCCTAGCCCCGACTACGGGGGCTTCGGGTTGAGGGCTCGAGGCCTCAAACACCTGCAGTTCAAACAATTGATTGGACTATGCACACGATGTGGACATCAATGGCAGAGGACAAGGACGACACCAACAGCAAGAACAGCAACAGTACAACGATGTCGACAACGACTATCGCTACAACTTCGACGACTCTACTATCATCTCTACCACCAATACTACCAGTTCCACATTACCTCCCCCCTCTGCAATATTATAGGTAATTATTTGGGCCCCTATCGTATTTTCGCACCGATTTTGGCGCACCTGGCTGTAGCAACGTATACAACAGGGCTGTCTGCTCGGCAGGACAGCGCTTCAAGCCTGCATCCCAACTTCCCTGCTGGACTTTTGTGGCCACCCGGCACCAAAGAGCACACAGTGTTGGAAGATGGCGGCGACAACTGTGAGCACGAAGAGGCCAAGGAAAGCTGGATGCCGTGTGAATGTGAAGCTCTCCAAAGTCGTGGCTGCAAAAGCATTCTCAAGCCTAGCAGTCTTGAGTGCAAGGTTTACAAGCCCAGCACCAGAACAATCTGCTATGCTACCTAACTTAATGCGTGCATGTTGGGGGGTAGGTGAGTGTTTTTTTTTGTTTGGCCTGTGTGTGTCCACATGCATAAAGCAGTTTTCGATCTCTTTGCGCATTCAACTGCAAAAGTTCTGCAACTTCATAAAACAGTCGAAGCATCCTAAAACCGTGCATACGGCACCAAATCGGCTGCCGTAACCTCGAACCAAGTTCAACCAGGCTACAGAACTTTGGCCCTCCCTCGTGATCTCTCTCCATGCCACTTGTACATACAATATATATATATATATATATGTATATTATATATATATACACATGTACATATATACATATATATGAATATGTATATACGTATTTCCGAATCATATATATATATATATATATATATATATGCATATGCATGCAAGCAATCATATACACATAAAAAAACAACTATTTCTATATGCAGGTACACCTAGCTACATACGTAGACATGTACTTTTGATCATGACTAGCCGGCCGGCTGGTTTCTATGTGAGCCCAAAGAAGCGAAACTAGAATGGGATAGCGGCAGAAGCCGATAAGACTGCACAACATAGGGTTTAGGGCTTAGCCTAACACGTAATACAGGGGCCTCAGTGATTCACAAAGAGTTTGGCAGGAAGTATCATTCATCCTCCAGGCCTCATTAGTATGGTAGAGGCCCCAAAGTTGGAAACCCAATAGCCTCAATCCTGAAGAGTACTGTATAGGGAATCCTTACTTTTTGTCCCCAATCCGGTTTCCAACTTTTGGGGTTTTACTATAGCAGGAGCCAAGAAGCTGCACAAGATTGAAAATCACCGCTGAACCCCCATAGATCCATTTCAGAACCCCTTTAAGGAGCCCTTTAAGGAACCCTTAAAGGGTACTTCTCAGGAACCAAGGCCAAGAAGCTGCACAAGACTGAAAATCAGTAATCCACCTGGGTTGTGCCTTAAACCCTTTGAAAATTATTTATGAATAGGTTCCCTTTACAAGGAAATAAGGGGAAATTAAAAATTATCCCAAAGCACAACCCAGCCACAGACGAAGGCCGAGGAGGCACGCAGAAAGCCAGGGTCGAGGCTGTCGAGACATCGGACACATCGAAGCAAATAGGGATATGCTGCCTAGGCTTTAGGATTTAGGGTTTAGGGGTTTAGGGTTTAGGATTTAGCGTTCAAGGTTTAGGGGTTTAGGGTTTAGGATTTAGGGTTTAAGGATGTAGGGGTTTAGGGCTTAAGATTTAGGGTTTAGGGGTTTAGGGGTTTAGGGTTTAGGGCCTGGGGTCTCGGTCCGGGAGAAGGAAGGAGAAGGGACTCTTTTCTGAGGCGTGGGTTTTAGGGTCCCGGGACCACTCAGTGTGCGCCCAGAGGCCGGGTACACCAGCATGAAGAACAGGAATTCAATCAGCATTACGACCGAATACTCGAAGTCAGATTGATAGCCAAGCGCGTGAAGTGAAGGCCTTCCAGCCCAAGAAACGGGAGCAAACGACAAGGTCCAGGGAAACATGGCCAGCAGACAGACCTCCGCTCTTCGACGGACTTATCGAAGAAGATTGTTTAGGGTTTAGGGTTTAGGGATGCAACAAGCGCAAAAAGATCTGCAGAGTATTTAACTTGCAAGGCACAGCATAAGGTATGTCCGTCACGTCCCCAAGGTCTTCGACAACTGCAGCACGCATTGGGCCTTGTACGTACTTGTTGAACTCTTCCAGGCAGTCTTCATGGTTCGCAAAGCCCGTGACGGAGCGCACAGCTAGCCGAGCTGAGTAGGTCAAGGATAAGTCGATGAGCTCCTCGAGGCGAGACTTCCCAGAGATCCCAATACCCCTTAGTTAAGGAATATACCCTAGGGTTCCTTTAAAGTGATCTATAGAGTTTAGGGTTTAGGGAATTCTCATACCCTTCATATTAGGGATGCTACTATAACTTAAGGTATATTCCTACTTATTCTGGGCTTACGGCGGTGCAAACGCGAAAACCGTGACCACCCGATGCATTGCAGGTAGGTGGAACACGCTTCACAGCCCATACATCGTTGTTGAAACAGAGCAGCCCTAAAGCTACACCCCGATGGGCAAGATATGGCGGGCCTGAGGAATACTTCGCAGAAAGTAGATCCCCTAATTTGGGGTCCTATACTACTAAGGGTACTTTATAGGAACCCCCAAGAAGGGATCTACTTTTGAAATCCTCATTTGCTTTCTTCTCTTTCTCCGGACGGCTGTATCGAGGAACCCATCATCTCAAACCGTGCAACTCCAAAGCATCCAGACACTCTGCACTATCGCGTAGTCATCCGTAACACTAAAGGACCATGTGCCCAAAGAGTGCAATGCACTTTGGCCTTAATGTAGTCCCTACTTGGGAATTTTGGGGCCGAAGTAGATAGTATTCGGGTACATGCACCCTTAGGGTCATCCAAAGCTCTCACTGAGCAGAAGGCCCTATTGGAGTCTTTGGGACTTCAGGCGAACTTCCTAATTTTGGATTAGTCCTTTCTTCAGTTGTCGGGTGTAAGGCCCTCAACACACCGTGCTAGAGGGGCCCTACTTTACAATCACAATCAGGAATACTTTGGACCCACGGGATGCCCTACAACCCAAACCGTGGTTCCGATTCTTCCAACGCGTGTTGTATAAAGGTTCGAGAGTGGGGGCGGACTCCTGCCGCTCGTCCTCGCCTGACTTCTCCGCCTTTTAAGGGATTAGACGCTAGGGTAAGTTTTAGGGGTTAAGGTAAGGCAAGGGTTTAGGAGCTTCCCTTTCAGGGGTTGGGGTAGGGCTTAGGGTTTAGTTAAGGATTTAGGTACGGCCCCCACTCAGCAACAGTTGAATAATATTCATAATATAAATATAGTAGGACCGCAATAGTAGCCGTATTATAGACTCTCACTGTATGGGGGCCGTACCTAATTAAGGGTTTAGGAGCGAAAGTCAGAGGCTGGAGTGCCGGCTGGAAGTATTTGTGATATCTACCCAGACTAAACCGAGATATGGCAGTTTCGGAGAAAACGGGCCCGTAATATAGTACCCAAAATAATAAGATCCTGATCATAAGGGCCCTAAAATAAGGTACCCCTAATTTTCGGAAACTCCCATATGGCTATATTGCTCGAGCATCCGGTAATGCAAAACAGAAACAATGACTGGGAGACTTTAAGCCACGTCGATGGGCACAGCGATAATGGGATCCTCCAATCCGTCGAAGAGCTCTGCAACTTGAGCCTGCAATTGTGCTCCAGTCTTCTGTTGTTCGGAACTTTCGTGTTTGCTTTAGGTTTTTCTGCGTCCGCAAGATCTTGTAAGTGCGTGCATCGGCGGAAGCATTGCGCTCAGACTATTTAGGGTACTATTTTGGGGGACCCTTTGTTAGGAAACTCCCGTTTCAATCCAACCCTTGAGGCTTCAAGATGTACTGGCTTTACTAGGTAGAAAAGGGTATATTATCGTATAACTTCTAATAAGGAGCCCCCAAAATAGTATTGGTAAGTTTTTCGGCCCCTATATTATGTGATGACGAGTCTGACTTCGTGTCATTGACTGAAACTCCCTATCTCAATCATACCGAGAAGCTGGAACCCTCAATGCCAGAACCCAAAGCCGCAAAACCCTAAACTAAAAACCAATTCCCGAAACCCCTAAACCCTTATAAATTCCTGGTAGATCCTTTTAAGGGAACCCCAACTGTACCCTAAACCCCCTGTCAAAAACAACTTCTGCTAAGTGTTCGTGGCTCGCAAGTAGCAAGTGGAAATTTGGGTTTAGGGTCTTGGGTTTAGAGCTTATGGCTTCATCAGCAGGCCATTTGGGTACAACACCGTGCGAACGAAGAGGCTTCTCCAGTTCTTGAGATCTTCTGGGTGGTATTCTTCCTTAATTAAAGGGATATTGGAAGGTCTGGGAGTTCAGCCCCATCGTTGGTTCGTAATGCTATCAGCCGGCGAATGGAGTTCCCTTTATGGATCATACAGAGGTTTAGGGATTAGAGCTCCTACAGAAGAAGCCAGGAAGTTGGAACATAGCTTCAGGAGGATTAGTACTAGGATCCCTAATGCTTTACCTTAATGGCACGAGGATAATTTAATGATGTTCCAACTTTCTGGCTTCTACTGTAGGAGCTCTAATCCCTAAACCTCTGTATGATCCATAAAGGGAACTCCATTCGCCGGCTGATAGCATTACGAACCAACGATGGGGCTGAACTCCCAGACCTTCCAGTATCCCTTTAATTAAGGACTGTACTTTAAGTTAAAGTAGGATCCCCATTATGATTTCAAGCAGGATCCCCAGTGTAAGTTAAAGTAGGATCCCCAGGATGATTTAAAGTATATTCCGCAACTACGGGATTTTGGAAGGGCTGGGGCTTAGACGTCATATTGGAAGTTGAGTAGGGTTTCGGGGGGTATATGGTCTCTTTACAACAAGCTAACCGCGCAAAATAGTATACTTGGGGGGTCGGGGGACTTAGTAACTGGTTACTTTAGGGACTTACAAGTACCATAACCCCAAATAGGGTGGTACATATCAACCTACTTACTACTCACTAAGTCCGCCGACCCCTAAACCCTAAACCCTATACTACCCTTATAGAGCCCTTTAAAGGAACCCTTCGAATCCCCTTTAAAGGAGCCCTTACTAAGTCCCCTAAAGACCCCCCAAAAAGCCGGCCCCGGGGCCCAGTAGCCTCGATGACTGAACGGTCCTTCTCCACGGTACACTTGGCGTTGCGTACATCGAAGGACTTCATGCTTTCCAGCCTGGCTACAGCCCCTTTTGGTACTCCTTTTTTGGGGGGGTTTTCAGGTTCCTTCAATGGGGTCTGACTACAGCCCCTTTTGGTACCCTTTTTTGGGGTTTTCAGGTTCCTTTAATGGGGTCTGTAAGGTATTGGGTTTCTGAGTAGCCCCATTGTAATAAGGGTACCCTTACCCTTCTTCTTAAGGGACCCTACAGAAACGGCAAAAGGGTACTCAGGAACACAGCAGCATATCTCGGTGTCCGTTCAGCTTCTGTTGAAAGGAGACGATGCCGACAATGATTGGCGGCAGACAGAAGCAAAGATAGGCTTGACTTGCCACTGCATACCCACAGAACCGCTTCAGACCGAATACCAGCGCGTTGCCCGCAACTCCGGAGAGTTTGGTGGTGTCATTGACGCCGAAGCTGGGTTCAGACTCAGTGAAGACAGCAACGAGGCGAGCCGAAACGTAGGAGAGCAACATCGTCGTCAGCAGCCACGGAGTGAGCCACAGTGGCACAAGCCGCAAATTCTTGAGACCGTTTCCTTTGAAGAAAATCGACAGCTCAAAGTTGCACCAAAGCCTTGCGGTTTGCAACGGGATGAATTTCTTGACTCCAAAATCTGAACCTTCAGAAACAGTCAGACCCCGTAGTTTTTCAACATTTCTACTTGAAGCCGCTCGAAGAAGTGTGACACTAAGGAGCCGCTCGTAGTATGACTTGTCCCACAGGACGAGCAATTCACAGGAGTTCGCCACGATCGTGGGCAAGCCTGCGATCCCTTCGGCCTTCGTTGTCTCATCGGTTTGGTCCACACAAAGCTTGTCCAGCCAGAAGCGGGGACCCCAGACTCCCCAAGTGAGGTGCTGCCCAAAGAAGAAGAACAAGAAGAAGGCAACAACTGGCAGGTCCAGCAGCAAAAGGAACATCATGTGGATGGACATATCGGGAAAAACCAGCATCAGGGCTTCGGAAAGCATGGCAGATGCGGCTGCTGCCTTTGCTGCCAAACCGATATTCCTGGATCGCTGACGGGAGCGAACACAAAAACCCGCCATCACGCTAAACTGCAATGACCCTTGTAGTATCTCTTACCCTCGATTTGACCAGGTTCAGAAAGTAGCACAGGGCCAGGTACTTCTCCCACCGGCCAGCGGACCAGGAATGGCTGATGAACACATCCACGTCCTTTACCTAGGGAAAGTCCGCTATGACTAGATACATGTATGTATACATTATAAACATAAACAGTCAGATCTACATATCAATTCACATAAACACGCTCATGACCAGCTACAATATGTTATACATTGAGGGGCCAAATACGGTGCTTCAGCACATGACCACTCAGTCTGGGATACTGTACCTGGAGGTTCATGGGACTGAGTAAGGTCAGTTATAAGTACCTTGACTGGGGATATAACCAATTATAAGCATAGTCTAGTATAGTTACTTTATTTATAAGCCTAGTTACTAAGTACCATGAATCTCTAAGTATGGGCCCAGAGAAATACAAATACGATTATCCGTATTATAGTTATAGTACAATGGGCCCCAAGACCCTATTCTAATTGTTAAGGCCCGTAGCAGGGTCACTATGGGAGACCCTTTCGGGGCTTCCGTAGCTATGACAGGCTTTTGGGGGTATAGATGTGTAGCTCTCTAAATCAGGGCCCCTTCTAGGCGCCCAGAATAGTATGGCACCATTCTAAAAGGACCCGATGGGACCCTAATTTAGAAAACTACCCATATGGGTATCTTCTACCATAGTTGCCATAAGGAACTAAGGACCCTTATATTGCCAGGCTCAGTGTGAGAGATGGGTCGGCGGCCAAAATCTAAAGCTCGGGGGGCTCATCAGTTCAGGAGAGTTCATGGTAGGGTTTGAGGGTTCAGGGTTTAAGGGTTTAGGAGTCACCTGCTGAGTCATGGGAAACCACTCGGAAGGCTCTGTTGAACGCCGGCTTCCGTTGAATTTGCCCCCGAACTGCGGGATCCTGGCATTTCTCTGCTTTTTTGGGCCGCACAGAGTCATTAACGTAAGGGCCTTAATGATTCGAATAGGGCTTTGGGGCCCAGATTATAAATACAATAAACACCCCCCCTCCAAAAAAAAGTAGTATAGGTAGTTATTAAGGCCCCTATGTTAAATCCTTACAATAGCCCTTATAGCAGCCCTTTAAAGCAACCCGTCTCTAATTGGGGAACGAAGTCATCACTTAATACATCCAACCGCCACGATCCGGAATCCTGCAAAGGCGAGCCGCCGGGATATACTTGTTATAATTAGATAAGGAACCCCATATATACATATATATATATATACATACATATATATATATATATACATATGTATATATAGGGGCCTTAAATAATTAGAGCAGGGTTTTGGGGCCCATTATGCTATGCGTATAATAAGGACCCCCCCCCACCCAAAAAAAAAAAAAAGTATTGGTACTTATTTCGGCCCCTTATATTAAACCCTAAAACCGAAACCTCAAGATCCCCGGTTGTCAAAGGTGAGGCGCCGGGATGGTGCTCCGAAAGTCCGGGACACTCCGCGTCTCGAAGACTTGCCTCACTTGGAGGGTCGGGGACTTAGTACCTGGCTTTTATTTAGGGACTTATAAGTACCATAACACCCCTTAGGATCCCTTTTAGGGTACTTATAAGTCTACTTACTAACTACTTACTATGTCCCCCGACCCCCGAAGTGGGCTTGGGGCTTAGGGGTTTAGGCACACAAATTGGGATGGCAAGATCCCGTCGCACGAAGTCGTGAAAATGCCACCGCTTTTAGGGTTTAGGGTTTAAGCCTAAGTTTAGGGCATCGAACATGGACACTAGCTGGATCTTCCCTTAAAGACGTTTCTTGTTCTCTCCGAGTCGCCCCAAGCCCGACAGCACCACCTGGCTGGAGGCAGCACGGAAGACTCCCTTCTGGTACAGCTCAGTGGCCCTGGCCTTCAGTCGTCGCATGGCCGTCTCCGTATCAACGCTGGCGTTGGGTTTTCGGAACAAGGCGGTTGACCGCGACCGTGATTGCCTATGGTGTGGAAATCCCCTGCTTAGCGAACATCAGGAGTCAGGCAAGGCTTGAACCAAACAGGAAAGAGCCTGTTTTGGCGACCTTAGCGAGAGCAGAACTGCCATGGTTGCCGTGGTCATCCGCACCACCGCCACAATCACCAGCATGGTTGTCTGTTCAGGCCATAGTCCATCCTCATCATCGCCTTCCTTATCATTGCCGTACCTGTCACCGTCACACTCATTGTCGCCATCACCGCCACCATAACTGTCATGAGCATGATCGGGGTTCTGGTGGAATCTTCATGAGGGGATGTCGGGGGTCTTCACCTTGCAAATTTCAGCCGCCGCTATGCCAGTGTTCTTTGCGAAATCATAGTATCGACCCTCAATGCTGTTTTGCTGCATGAGTGGACATACTGTAATGCAAGGTGAAGAAGCTGTTTGTTCGAGAGCCACATGATTTCCCCGGATTCCCGGACTGCCGCAGCCCAGGAAGCCAAAATTCAACCTACAATCCCAAACCTCACGTCCCTAGTGTGCTTGTCTTGGTTAGCTGAGCAGCTTCAAGCTTACCTTACTCAGGTTTGGGAGTAGTGGGATTCAACTTACAAAGGCGTCACTGGCAGTAGATTTGGATCGAGGGGCATTTTTTAGCTACCTTTCTGGCTGAACAATGCAAAAACAGCAGCCGTCGGCTGCTTGAATTTCAAAAACTAAAAGCTGCCCGAGCTCACAGAGTTCTGGGCTCGAAAGCGGCTTCGTATGATAACAGTAGGGACCCCCAAAAGCACTTCAACAAAATTCAAAAGGTTGGGGGAATATGCCACAAGCTCCTCTTCAAGTAAGCCAATGAGGATGGGATATCCCACACACCACCAGAAGCTTATGTTGGGGTGCCTTGTTTGATTCCTGAAATAGTCCTGTCTGCTTTGCAGAACAATGCCTACATTGCAATCTCCCTGCTGGACTTGTGTGGCCATCCTGCACCGAAGAGCATGTAGTGCTGGAATATGGCGGCGACAGTTGCAAGCATGACGGAGCAAAGGAAAATTGGGTGCCGTGTGATTGTGAAGCTCTCCAGTGAAGCGCATACAAACGAATTCTCAATCCTTGTGCAGCTTGAGTTTCCGGTGTAACATAGGAGCCAGATTAAGAAACCCTAGGTCTTGATTGGGGACGTTGCATACGAGTCCTAATAGTTTGGGGTTTTAGGGCCGGGGCTTGTTAATCATGCCCACAAGACAAGAAGGAGCAAAAGATCGCATAGATGCGTCATCGTACAGAGCTTAGAAAGAAGGTATGAAGCAACCTGAACCGTATATGTGGGCCGAAAGCCGCGGCACTCCGCCACGCCCGAACAAATACCCAGAGAACCCAATACCCCTTAATTAAGGAATCCACCTTAAATTATAGAGGCCTTCATATTATGATTTAAGGGTATATTCCCTAATTAGGGGGTATTGGGATCTCTGGGTACATCAACCATTGTCTGAATCATGTTGGCCTCAAAAATTGGAAATATTGTTCCACTATTGGCCCTCGCTTGCCTGTCTCCTTCCATCCAGCATATAGAACCTCAAACCTTGTTGGTATAGGGTCGTTTCACTTAATCTGGTAGGAAGCTAGGCCAGGAACATCTACATGTGCAGTGTTGTGAATGTTGATGCTTCGCACCGTCGTGGCCCGTTAACCTAAACCCTGAGGAATTTGGGCCTCAATGACTCGAAGAGAATTTGGGGGTATTCAAGTAGTATCGTACGAATAGGGCACCCTTTGGAACCAACATCATTCATTATCCAGGCTTCTAGATTAGGAGCTAAGGAGCTGAAGCAGAGTGAAGATCAGGAATCCGCAGGCGAAGGCTGCGGGTGCTCGCAAAATACCCAGGTCAAGGCTGCTGTCGAGACATCGGACACATCGAAGCAAATAGGGATATGCTGCCTAGGCTTCAGGATTCAGGGTTAGGGTGTTGGGATTTAGGGGTTTAGGGGTTTAGGATTGTAAACCCTAAACCCTAAACCGGTTAGGATTTAGAGTTTAAGGATGTATGGGGGTTTAGGGTCTAAAGTAAAAGCCAGAAGGTTGGAATATGATTATCCTAAACCCTTTATGGTAGATTATAAGGTATCCTACCCTGAAACCATACTCCAACTTTCTGGAGTTCCCTTTAGGGCAGAGAGGGGTATGCTGCCTGGGCTCTGGATCCGAGGGGACGACTCTGTTCAGGGTGGGGCCTTCAAAGGGTACCATAAGGGTTCCTTTAATGGGATCCTTAAGGATTTAAGGAGTTAAGGGGTGGGTACTATAAGGGTTCCTTTAATGGGATCCTGAAGGATTTAAGGAGTTAAGGGATGGGTACTATGATGGTTCCTTTAGTGGGGTCTTTACTTGGGGGGTCGGGTATAGACTTATAAGTACCCTAAAAGGGACCCTAATTGGGGTTATGGTACATATAAGTCCCTGAAATCACCAGCTACTAAGTCCCCCGACCCTCCAAGTAATGATTTAAGGAGTTAAGGGATTAGGATTTAGGGGCTTAGGGGGGCTTGGGGATTTCGAAGGAGTGGACACTTGGGCAAGACTAGGGGCAAACGCAAGACTGCCTATGACTTCTGAGCCTGTACGAAGGCCAGCCGGGTGGCAGGGTACACCAACATGAAGAAGAGGCATTCAATGAACTGCACAGCAAAATACTCTAAGTCAGATCCATAGCCAAGGGCATGCAGATATGGCCTTCCGTTCCAAGCAACAGGAGGAAAAGACAAGCTCCAGGGAAACATGGCCAGCAGACAGACCTCAGTTCTTCGACGGATTTTATCGGGGGAAGTTTGTGCTGTTCGAAAGCCGCAACTAGCGCAAACAATGCTGCTGAACAAGTTGCAAGACACCATAAAAGATATATCAGTCACGTTCCCAAGGTCTTCAACAACTGCATCATGCATTGGTCCTTGCACGTACTTGTTGAACTCTTCCAGGCAATCTTCGTGGGTTGCAAGACCCGTCACAGAGCGCAAAGCAAGACGAGCTGAGACGGTCAGCGACGAATCGATAAGCTCCTCGAGGATTAAATTCTTTGGCTTCGGGCCGGCGGCAAACTTGTACTCATGATATCGGAATAGGCTTTGTGCTACATGATCATATTATACTTCTAACAAGGAACACCAATTGCAAGTCTTCCTATAACACATGCTCAAAAACCCCCCCCGAGGGCGGAAACTAGAGACTCGCAACAGCGAGTGCAGGCAAACCTGCCCACCAAAGACGCAGCGGAGATTTCAGTTCAAATGCGGCCAGCAGCCAACCCCTAATCCCTAAATCCAGGGACAAAGTCTCGAAACGCCTGCTCCCTTAACAAATGTCTAGGAGCCGAACATACTAGCTTGCAGCTTGAACTCTATTGTTTTTTTTTTCTCTCTCTCTCTCTCTCTCTTTATCTCTACTTTGGGGGTCGGGGGACTTAGCAAGTAGTTAGTAAGTAGACTTATAAGTACCCTAAAAGAGACCCTAATTTTAATTGGGGTTATGGTACTTATTTATAAGTCCCTAAAATAATCGGTTACTAAGTCCTCCAAGTAGTTACCCACGGGCCCCATAGTAGTTCCTTTTTGTGGGATTACCTTATAGGATTCTATATATGAATCACAAAAGGAACTACTTTGGGGCCTATGGGTACATACCTCTTGCAGACGCCTCGACGCCTCGATGCCCTTTCATTACGGAGCCCTCACGAATTAGTGTTCCTCAAAGGCCTCGAGTAATTTAGGGGCCTTGATAATTGGACTAGGGTTTTGGGGCCCATTACACTAGTAGTATTCCTATTTGGGGCCCATTATACTATAAGTATAACAAGAGTTAGTGTTCCTACGCATGCTTCAGAGCAAGCTTCTTCATGAAAGCATGGTGGGTGCTCTGGTTGATCAGCATGCATGCTCAGAGGCCTCGAGTAATATAGGGGCATTAATAACTAGAATAGGGTTTTGGGGCCCATCATACTGTAAGTATAATAAGGAACCCCCACAGTACCATTGGTAATTACTTAGGCCCCCTATGTTAGCCATTAAACCCTAAGCCAAACCCCTGCGTAGGGTTTCGGGCTTCGAGGTGCTCCTGCCACTCCTCTTCGCCTGACTTCACCTCAGATGGAACTCTTGGCATCCCAAAAGGACCATGAGGACAGGCCAAGATCGCATTCCTGATGCCGACATCCGCCTTTTTATGCCTCTAACAATAAAAAATACAGCAAGGTGAAAAAGTTACTCTGACAGACTCGGCCACTTCGATCGGCACTGCGATCACGGGATCGTCGAGCCCGTCGAAGAGCTCTGCCACTTGGGCCTGCAAGCGCGACGCAGTATCTCGCAGGCTGTCTGTTTCAAGTAGGGTGTTGTAGGCCGTACATGGGCCACGGCGTTGCTCTGTACAACATTGCTTGGAGTTCTTTCTGTCTTTGATCCCACTTTTTGAAACTCACGCCTGCGCGGGGTGCCGGTTTTCTCTTATTGTTCGATATGCTGTGAGCGGAGCACGCAGTGCACCCACGCCTTTGTTTTGGGCCCACGGTGGCCCGAGGGCAAAAAGCAAAGCAGGATACATTTTGTCGAGGTTCGGTGGTTCGGCACGGTGCGGGCTGCAGATACTAAACTGACTAACTATAACGCAGTTGGAACGCTGGAAAAGCTGCACATACTTCAACACACAGCTGTCGGCTCTAATGAAAATACAGCTTGTTCTGCTGACATGAAACAAACTGTTAACTCTGCAACATTCGGACTTCTGCATGCAATGTGATCATACACAGATAGAGCATTCGTAGGTCAATGCACGTGAACAAACAAATGGATACGTAAGTATCTATTCAGGTTATACATGTAATAATATAATAGAGTATCAATGTCAATTTTGGCATGTCCCATGTAAAGGTATATCTATACTACATACTGCATTACACTACATTACATTAGTTTAGACTAGATTAGACACATTACATTACGTTACCTTACATTAACATACACTACACTGCACCACATCACATCACATCGAACTGCACTACATCGCACTACATTATATGACAGTACAGTAAGCCGCTTACTACATTGCACAACAAGGCAGCGCAGTACAGTGCATACATACATACATGCACAATTGGAGATTGTGCGAGATGATGCTGCTTAATGTAGGATCCCGATTAAGAACCCTTGGGTCCTTATTAGGGTTCTCAATATGGGTCATAATGTATTGGGGTTAAAGGGCCAGGGTTTCTTAATCAGGTTCCTACATTATACCTGCACCCGCAGGTGCCGCCTTTCCTTCTTGTGGGGTCCCCAAGCGGAAGTTTCCGAAAATAGGGGACCGTAATAGAGGACCATACATAGTAGGATCCTTATTATAAGGACAGCAAAATAAAGTCCCTTGTAGGGAAAGGCAGGGCTGCAAGTCTGTCTGGTTCTCAGTACGGAAAGGGCGAATGGATTCCTATGATAGTCTCTTAAGGTCCCTTATAGTAGTCCCAATAACCCATTCCCACTTTCCCTACTAAGAACCAGACAGAAGTTGCCGGTGGAGTTTGCACTTGTGTGCACTTTGCGTTTCTACGCGGATGAACCACCACCCTATGGCCAACTCATGTTTGAGACACGTTGCTTGGAGAATTTCAATATCCCTTATGTAAGGAGTATACCTAAATTAAGGTAGGATCCCGTGTATGATTTAAGGTACAACGGTTAATCAAGGGATATTGGAGTATTTGGGTGCTTTGTGACAATTCGAGCTGAGAGCCTGGGTTTCAGGCTAAACGGCAAGGCGATGTTTGTTTCTCAGCACTTGCGACTGTTCAGAGCTTAGGTTCAAGGATTCAGGGATGCCCGGGTCTCCGTCAAATATGTCATGTGTACTCTGGTTTTGAAGATGCTTTTCGTTTATCTCGCAGTGGCAGTAGAGCGGACTGAGCGCTGGGATTTTCACGGCCAGCAGTAGTTAAGTAACATAGGGGCCTGTCTCACCCGCACTGTCGAACTACTACGTCGTTTAGCATCCGTGAAATTTTGATACTTTGCAACCATCCAACAACTTTGTGCCCAAACTCTAGTCAAGTTCTTTAGGCTTGCATGTTACCTCGGGACCGCAGAGAAGCGGAATCGTAGCAGACCCGTGTTGATACGTAAACTGGCCTCTCCAGGACTTAAGCACCGCGCAAAACAAATGTGAATATGGATACATACAATTATGCATGTGTATATATATATATATGTATATATATATATATATATATATATATATATACATATGCAGGTGACAACGTTGGCACACACACACACGCGCAGAAAAACACACACACACACACACACGCGCAGACACACACACACACACACACAGACACACACACACACACCCACACCCACACCCACACCCACACCCACACCCACACCCACACCCACACCCACACCCACACCCACACCCACACCCACACCCACACCCACACCCACACCCACACCCACACCCACACCCACACCCACACCCACACCCACACCCACACCCACACCCACACCCACACCCACACCCACACCCACACCCACACCCACACCCACACCCACACCCACACCCACACCCACACCCACACCCACACCCACACACACCCACACCCACACACACACACACACACACACACACAACACACACACACACACACAACACACACACACACACACACACACACACACACACACACACACACACACACACACACACACACACACACACACACACACACACACACACACACACACACACACACACACACACACACACACACACACACACACACACACGCGCAGACCCGCGCAGACACGCGCAGACACGCGCAGACACGCGCAGACACGCGCAGACACACCCGCAGACACACCCGCAGACACACCCGCAGACACACCCACACACACACACACCCACACACACACACCCCCACACACACACACACCCACACACTTGACACATCGTGTCGCAGGTCTGATCTGTCGGTGCATACTGTCAGGAAAAGTCAGCAGCTCAAAGCAAGCCCTCACTCAAACACAGCTCTGAGTCACACCTGAATGATCAGATTGCAGCAACCATGCAGGAAACTCGACAGTGGCAAACGTGAAGCTGTCACTCTAGTGTTGGTTACTCCAGTGCCTCAGGGGGCCCACTGGCTAATCCGAAAGCAGGTACACAGTGGTGATCAGCCACTGCATCCACTCCAGTGATTTGGCTTCGTTGGGCAAGGCTGATCACTGGAGCCCTTGCCCCCCTGCCTACTTCTCTCCCTTCGAAACAGGGTTGGACACACACAAGCCCGACCGGGCTCATTGCAGGAGCTTGCACATCACTTGCACGTCACTTGCACATCCCTTGCACATCCCTCGCACGTCACTTGCACGTCCCTTGCACATCCTTTGCTGCTTTTTCACTGAATTTCATGGGAGAGTCTTATGCTCAAAAAACCTAGGAGAGTGGGCTGCGAAACCTCAGGAAGCGCAGTCTATGCACTAAGTGCAATTCAACTTCTGCTTCTTCCGCATCAGCATCGAAGTACATGCAACACTGAGTTGCAGTTTGGTACGCAACGCTGGCCAGTGACACAATACTCACTCGCAAACGCTCCTGTACTAGGTCTACGACAGCTCTCATCCACCTTTTTGACGGGCTGCTCAACATGGTGCATGCCGCGGCATTGATTTGTGTAAAACGGATGGTGGTATGCAAAGACTGAAAGCCCATGGTCCACTCAACCGAAGAGGACAGTCGAAACTCCTGTATCCCACGTCGTAAAAAAGTGTACGCCACCATGGTGTCGGTTATGGGTTGTGCCTCTTCTGGGTCATCATTTGGATCGAGACGGGTAATGAATGTGATTCTGGTTCTGATCGGCAACACGTACATCAAGATGTTGTCGAGCACGTCAGAAGCAGCCCAATCCATGATGTTCGGGGTCTACACAATTTTCCGAGTGCTTGAAGCAAAACTCATGCACACCCTTGCATATCACTTGCAATCCGCTTGCACATCACTTGCAATCCGTTTGCACATCCCTTGCTCGTCACTGCTCTTGAATTGACACAGAGGTGGGCTCTTTTTATACCGTAACAACGAAATCGACTGGTTCGAGGGTTTGAGCAGTCGTGACAGGTTCTGTAAACCGAAGATGACGAAAGTTTTGTACAAGCTGGAAGGTGTGCAACCTAGGCCACCAGCCGAACTTCTCCCAGAGCTGCATCGCGACAAGGTATTTGGCAACGTTGATGGAATCGTTGATTGATAACTGGATGTGGAGAATAATAGTCTCGTGTCCGGTTGCCCGACTGCATACACGAACCCACATCCGAAAATTGTAGTCGCGGCTCGTACTCCAAGGCAAATTGGCTTCACGAGCCTTGCGCTTCATGTTGGACAACCTACACAATTTCACTGGATGTCAAATGCTGCAACTCAAGACGGCTCATGCAGAAACCTGAAGATGCACAGCACCGCACACGCGCACTCTTTAGTTTCTTTTACCTTAATCAGGAGCTTGCACATCACTTGCACGTGACTTGCACATCCCTTGCACATCCCTTGCACGTCACTTGCACGTCCCTTGCACATCCCTTGCAACACCCTTGCAATGACACTGGCACACAAACGCTTGTTTGCAACTGCTCACGTTTCACTCTGAGACTTCAATTTCTGCTGGAAGTGTTGGGGGCAACTCTGTTGTTTCTTGAAGTTGAAGAGAATTAACGCAATGAGTAGTCACAGATTGAAGAGAATGCAAATCCGTCAGCAAGTTCCCCACCACTTCGTTGGTCTTCTGAAGTTTCTGAAACAGTTCTGTGGTGGCGGACATGACTTCCGCCACCTGAGCCTCAGTGTCCCTGATTTGTGTGGTGAGCACGTCGAGTTGGGCTTGTTGGATCTTCTGGACGGACAATGCTTCTTCGCGAAAATGACGGAATTCACCTCTGATTGTGATCAGCTCCTGTTGTGTGTAGGAAATCCAGCGTTGAAGAGGTGCCAACGGATCGCACGCTGAGTTGCTCGACATTAGCGCAATGGAACGAGACTTGAGCAGGGTGCTGCAACACTGTTCTGGTGTGTACCACAACACGACTGAACGAGTACTCTCAGCACTGGCGTCCGCTGCACAATCTTTCCTCACTTCAGCACTCGCATGCGTTACAGATACAAGTGAAATCCTGTCACATCGGGCATACTCAGCTAAGATCAGACGATTGACTGCGTCGCGATCGGCGTGATACACGTCTTCTGGTAGGCATAGGTTTGGATCTAATCGGAGTACCTGACGCAGCTGAAGATGTAGGTGCGGC